GGGGGGTCGCGACCCCCCCGACCCTCCCCCTGGATCCGCCCTTGCCCCCCCCCCCTGGATCCGCCCTTGTGACGTGTGATGTTTTGAAAGTTTTCAAAATTGGACGAGCCTTTAGGCTGGAGAACTTTCAAAACATCAGGAGTATCAATCAATTCTGAATTGTACTCGAGGCCAGCATTTTTTTGTTTATGATACACTCAACAAAGGTTGAGCAACTTAATTGGGAGTCTTTGTCCAATCAGAATCGAGTAATTTCGTGATAGTAATATTTTTAATTTCTTAATCGGTGGTAGACTAGACTGGTGTAGTCAGTGACATGAAAAGAAACTCTAATTTTTTGAATTCACCTTCTCAAAGGAGTATTCTACAGGGACGTAGCCATCGGTACGGTTGGTCCGGTTTCAAACGAACCAACTTTCGGAGGAAAAACATTATTTTTTTAATTCAAGAAAAGTAAAAAAAATAGAAAATAAAACAATGAGAAAAATCATTGAAAAAAGATTTTWAAAAATGATTAGAACGAGAACGAGTCAAGAAAAAGTACTTTCGCAACATTCAAAATCTGAGTACTTTAGGATGGGTTTGAAAAGATATTAAGTGTAGGAGGTTTTCCCTATACTTTTCCTTGCTCCTCTTCACCTCTCCCCTACCCCTCCCCCCTCCCTTGAAAACCGAACCAATCAAAAGTTGGTGGCTACGGCCCTGTTCTATGCACCAAGAGTTTAAGATTAATGCACGCTAACTTAAACTAGAAAAATAAGGCTTCAAATATTTCTGTGAGTGAACAAATGCCATGTTCGATTGATAAAGATGGCGACCTTTAATTCCCGTGGTAGATCGCCTTCACCTTGTGTTAAGTCATTTTTACTTGTCAAATTTTTACTTGAGATTTAAAATTGCTAGCGCTATAAATGATTTATTGAAAGCATAGAAAGGTTTGCTTGAGTTTTAAAGTGCTACTCTGACGAAAATCGCTCAAACTTGGATTCAGCTGAAACTTCCTAAGAATACTCTTTAAAGGTCCAATAATCACTGTATGAAGTGTTTTCTCGATATTCAGGACGAAAGTATGATATTTTTACGATTATTTTTGGAGTCTGTGACATCATACACTCAACATCAAACATTCCTATATATATTTCTTTGTATATAAACCCTTAATTTATTTTATTCCTATGAATCCCAAGGGTAGCTAATGTTCTTATTTCATTACTTGTGGCTATAATTTATATTTTGGGGTGTTTGGGTATTTCTTTCTCCCTTTACTACTGATATTTTGATCATAAACTACAAAGAAATGTTTGGTTTGTGTTATCGTGAGGATTGAGCTGGATTTTTTAAATTAAATTGAACTTCTGTCCATTAAGTGTTTTGAAATTCTTAACCGGCTGCCGGTCATTTAGACAGTCCTATATGAAAATATTAATATCTTTGTTTAATTTTTTTTTTTCCTGTGCTAGATTTCAATTTGACAGGAATAGGTTACTCAAAAATAGAAAAGTTTCACTATTCTATATTTTAATATTATTCTAAAAAACAAAAAAGGAAAAACGGGAAAAAGGAGCAAAAGCGTGAGTAGGTATAATGTTTAGGTCACCCATCCAAGTGCTAACCCTCCTCAGACGAGCTTGACTCAGTATCTTGAACGACAACGATTTATCCACTGGACCACGATTCCAGGTCAATCAGCATAACAATAGCCGTGAAAACAATGCACCGAATAGACCAGACTTTTTAACATTAT